CAGTTCAGGGCATGTCCAAATTGAGAGGATTCACTTATATAAAAATATTTAATTCTCAATTGTCATTGGGGCTCATTAATTTCTAAAATTTCTAATGTATTATAGTAATCAATTTCAAAATATGGAGTCTAAAAGATAGACCCATTTGGAAATAGATATAGGGAAATAATCATGTTTTTTGTGAGGATGCAGGAAGCTCATTAAGATTCATATATAAAGGTTACAATAGTGTACTTCCTTCGTTCACTAATATAAGATGTTTTAAATATTTTTATAAAGACTACATACAAACTGAAATGAGTGAAGAAACGCATTAAAATACGTCTATATACGTCTGATTAAGAAATAAGTTAAAACTCCCTATAATTTGGAATGGAGGGAGTATATTCATGGGTAGCAATAATTAAACACTCAAAGAATATGTCTCAAATTCCAGAATAAAGCACTCGGTCAAACTTCATCGTACGCCCTTCCTATCCCACAACCCTTCCACCAGATGGCAACGGAATATACATATACAACACCCCTTAATAACATATAATCTCCAGGGAGATCGAGTTCGTGCGTCTCTCTTTCTTTTAGTAACAAAAAAGTACTTGTTGTCTGTGTGTGTATCGGTCAAGTCCTTCTTCTTGGGCCAAGCCCAAAAACAGTGCAAAAAACAAATACAAATGAAATATAATTTTCCAAAAAATGTTCATCACCAAAAAATTGAATCAATTTTTAGAAAATGTTCTGAAAAATTGCAAAAAATACACCTTTTCAAAAACAAATCGTGTTTTTCTGAACAAGAAAAAATAAAATCGATTGGAAGACTATTCCATGCAGAACTACTCTTTCGTCGGATGAAAGTGCGGAGCTGAATTAGGTCTTGACGAACGCCATTAGGGTGGCTTCTTGACATCTGATTTTTATGGTCCAAAATGTTATGCTTGTAAACTTATTTCTGGCGTTAGCCAACACTCGATATAGAAGTGTTGCGTACTTGCCCGTTGCAACACACGGGCATTTGTACTAGTATATACATATATACTTATTTAATTTGAATGCATTTTTAGTATTTCGCAAAGGGAGTGTACCCTGGCCTCTTCATTTTTAGTGTTTATTGGTAACATTTCACCTATACATATGTTAAACATGATTTTGATGTCTACATTAAAGGGCCCCAAGGTCATAGTTTCACCCCGGGCCCCTGAATTCTTAGGACCGGCTCTGCTAGCCACCGGGGTACGAGGTCGCCGGCAAGGAGGAGAGTGTACTACGGCTCCGCAAGGCGCTGTACGGACTGCATCAGGCCCCGCGTGCTTGGTACACGAAGCTGGACGAGTCGCTGGCTGCTCTCAGCTTCACACGCAGTCCGTTGGAGCACGCCGTGTATCGCCGCGGTGATGCTCACTCGTTCCTACTAGTGGGCATGTACGTTGACGACCTCATCATCACAGGCACTGACCAAGCATCCATCATTGAGTTGAAGGGATAGATGCAAGAGCTCTTCAAAATGAGTGATCTTGGCCTTCTAAGTTACTACTTGGGCATTTAGGTAACACAAACCATAGACTCAATCACTTTGTGTCAGAGGAGTTATGCAGAGAAGGTGCTCGAGGTGGCTGGAATGGATGGATGTAATGCATGCCAAACTCCCATGGAATGCCGGCTCAAGCTGAAGAAGGATGATGAAGCAAAAGCAGTTGATGCCTCGCTGTATCGTACTGTGATTGGTAGTATGAGATACTTGGTTCATACTAGACCGGACATCACACATGCGGTTGGGATAGTGAGTGGGTTTATGGAGAAACCCACTATGACTCACTGGACAGCCGTGAAGCAAATCCTTCGGTATGTGAGAGGCACACTGAACTATGGCTGCTGCTACAAGCGTGGCTCCAGCAAAGCTGAACTGATTGGTTACAGCGACAACAATCACGCCGGAGACGTTGGGTATTGCAAGAGCACCTCGGGTCAGATCTTCTTCCTTGGTGAGAACCCGGTGTCATGGACTTCTCAAAAGCAAAAGATTGTAGCCATCAGCTCATGTGAGGCGGACTATGTTGCAGCAGCCGCAACTACCTGCCAAGGTCTTTGGTTGAGTCGTCTTCTTGCAGAGATGAGAGGAGAAGAAGAAGCAAGCTCATTCAAGCTTCTGATTGACAACAAGTCTGCAATCGCACTGGCAAGAACCCCGTTCATCACAACCGAAGCAAACATATTGATATCAAGATTCATTTCATCCGAGATTGTGTTGAAACAAAGGAGGTGCAGATTGATCACATTGGCACTGATGATCAGGTTGCCGATGCCTTGACAAAATTGCTGGGTCGGGTGAAGTTCGTCAAGCTGCGTCAGAGGTTTGGAGTGCAGGTAATTAGCAAGTTCATTCAAGCTTCTGATTGACAACAAGTCTGCAATCGCACTGGCCAAGAACCCCGTTCATCACAACCGAAGCAAACATATTGATATCAAGATTCATTTCATCCGAGATTGTGTTGAAACAAAGGAGGTG